AATGGTTGTTTTTCATTAACGCTTCGCTTCATTTCACTTCGCTTCGATTACATCATTTCCCTTTGGTTCGCCTTGTTCATATTGATTGTAGGAAGTCTAGAAATAAGTTTTGTGAGTGGAATGAATTACAACGCGTAAAGGCTGCGACTTTACTAGAACGTACGTGCTGTGGAAAGTCCTTTCGTCACACACTCAATACATATGCCCGAAAATAGTCGGCATGGAAAAATTAGCATAACGTCAAAACAGTGAATGTCGTAACGCGGATTTTTGGCCGGTTCGCAGGCTAGGTTCTTCTTACAAATTTCAAGGTGTTGCAGTGAATCAATCTTAATGGCGAAATTTTCAGACATCGTGAAGATTATGTGACGACGGTTTAAAACAATTTCTGTCGAGCCGATATACAGCCGAGCCAAAATTTCCTAGCATTAACATATAATATTAAGCTGCATTCTGATGCTAGAGTAATTTGAGTAATTTGAGTTCTTTAGACCTTTGTATTTAACATTTCATCGCGGCTATTGAAAATATAAGGTTATAAATTTATTTACGTTTTACTTGAAACATACATATTTTTTTACTCACGGAGGTTATTTACTAAACGCCACACTTAAGTTCCTAGTGTCGGCTTTTCAGTACCAGGTCTAGATCCGCGGGTCCGGGCTCTAGATCGCGCAAAATTCCGCTTTTATCGATTTCAAAGCTTTTTGTTTATTGTTATCATAGTGATATCGATTTTACTAAAAATTGTGTTTTGACAAACTACAATCCACAATACACTGGTTTTATAGCGATGCGGACAAGTATAAAATAATTAATTAAGGCGATTGAAAAAAAAAAAACAGTATGGTCTCCAAAACACTGTATCGAAACACCTTAAATATCATTTTAAAATATTCTGTCATCCTCACTATTTCTTCATCTTTCAGGGTTGCAGCACTTTGTGATTCTGCCTCCGCAGCCTTACGGTTTGCCACTTAATTTCAAAACTTTGCCAGAAACATTACAAGCCGCTGGTAAGAAAGAGCTTTTTTAAATGTTCTCTACCAATTTGAGAGCGAAGAAAACAAGTCCCAAAATATAGGATTATGTGGAACTCAATCCAACTTTCAAAATCAAATATTCTATTGAAGATTTAGACTCAAATGCCAAGCGAAAGATTTTTGCTTTACAGTTGAAAGATTCTACTTTGCCCGTCCTGGCTAAGTTTTGTCAATCGAGGTCACTTCAGCTTTCAAGTATTTGTTAATTTTCATAAACTTCTCTCCCACTGAAGGTGTTTTATGCTACCGAAACTGGGTGTGAGGTCTCTGTGACTCCTTGACGTCTTGACTTTATCTCTTATTTTGGCTTAGTTCGATAGTGCCCTGTTTATTGGATCGCAGCCTGTGCGACAACCATTTCTGTGCGTGCGAGCCAGTTTGGGCGAGTGACCCGAGTGAGATAATCGGGGTGTGATAATCCAGTTCTGGCCCCTCTCTCTCTCTGTCACACAACGCAGGCGTTGCGTGGCAGAGAAAGAGACAGAGAGAGCCAGAACTGGACTAGGAGTGTGAGTGAAAGGGAAAGCAAAAGAAGCCTTCTTCCCTAACCCCTTCATGTTTTGGCGCTCACTTCGACTTTCAAGGCGCAACCTATCTAACGATACCCTGCCGAGCAGAGGCCCTTCGTTCTTCCTAGATAAACCAGGAAGAGTCCCATCCTCTTCCCGACTTATCTAAGAAGATGGAAGGGCCTCTGCTCGCCGGGTAACCTAACGAATAACGTAACAACAAAATTAAGATGAATGAGGGCAGGAGTCCATAACCTGGAGCTTGCAACTCCCACTCTTGGCTTATAGTGCAAAGGCGTTTTCACAAATCACTTTATTTTTAGCTTCATTTTGCAGTATTTTTTCCCACGAAAATGAAAGCACTGCCCCGTTTGTGTGCGCAACCATAGTACGATAATAATGATTTGTATTTGTATTTGTATTTATTCATTTGCCACACGATTACAATAATTACAAAGAAATGCCAAAAATGTCTTAGGAAGAAAAAGCGAGGAGGCCTAAAGGAAACTATAGAGCTTATTTTAATTAGGCCTCCTCAATTACAATTTTTCGAAGATGGCATAAAAATTACGGCGACGGATACAAAATAATATCAGGTGGAAAATTAAACTAATCAATATTACGGAAGTTTACAAATAATGTTGAATATTAAAAGGCTTTTTCGCAAGATTTCTGTTGGAGTGAGTATACAAATAATTATTACAAATAAATGCCTTACGTGCTCTTTTAAAGGAAAAAGGTGAGGAAGCGTTGATGATGTTGGTGTTTAAGGTGTTGTAAAATTTAGGTCCTTGATAAAAAACGGAAAATTGTTTGGTTCGAGTACGACAGAACGGCAGACGAAATTTACACGAGAGTTTCTTGTATTATACGAATGAATTTGACTTTGTAAAGTAAATTTACAATGAAATTTTAAAGGTAGAGTATGGTTTTGATAGGAGTACATGA